ACTCTATTCATAAACATGTTTCGTGCTTGGTGTTTTATTCTAATATATAACAAGGAAATCTGGTAGTCTGTCAGGTTCTCACACCATCTTTATACTTAATTATTATTGATATTATTATTATTCTTTAGCGCTCCTCATTATTTTAATATTTTTTCTAGTGCTTCTCCAAAAAAATCCAAAGGTCTCTAATACCATTTTTATTGCGTGTTATTAGTCCGTGATTCAGCTCGGAGAAGTCCTTACATGTTTTTGTCGTTGTTGTTGCTGTTTTCATGGTATTGCTGTACTTTATGTTTGTTACCGTTTTAATTGTTGTTTTTATCATCGCTATCATCATTGTTATAAATATTACTTAATTCTAAACTGCCATCCCCATCCCATCAGCACCTCCATATCATCTATATCTCAAACTTCATCATTTTAGAAAGGCATCTGTCTATGAATAATATACTCAGGCAAATATGCTTTAAATGTAACATCAAAACTGTTAACTAAATCACCCTTTGATCACAAGGGAAAGTTCTGCAACGCTTATTAATCAACTCTGCTATTTTCAAGGTTATGCTTTTCACTTCCAGAGTATGTTGTAAAGAAATAACGGATTTTGGTATGAGAGATAAACCTAAATGCCTTGTAGTTTTACAGGGGTGGAGTGAGGGGAGAGAGGGGGGGGACTCATGAGGTATTGTTATAGGTATAGTTAAATTCATGATTCTCTTTGTGTTAATGTTGTAATAGGGAGGGAGAGGTGACAATGACACACTTGCTTACGAAAAAATCATATGAAAACATATAAAATGGTAAAGAGAGAAAATTCAGTATCAGGTACAAGAGAGACGGAGAGAGAGGGGCGGGGGGAGGGGAGAAAGGGAGAAAAGGAGATAGAGACAGAGCGAGCGACCAAGCGAACGAACTAGAGAGAGGGAGAGGGAGAGACAAGTAGGCAGACAAAAAGACTAACAAACCAAGAGGGGGAGGAAGGAAAAGAGAGAGAAAGAGGAAGAGAGAGAGAGAGATGAAAAGTATGTATCTCCCCTGAATCTCTTGAAACCAATAGTTCGACAAGACCGTTAGTCTAATATTGCTCAAACACGTGGACTAAAACTCTCGAAGAATTGACTTTCCTTCGTGCTTCCGTTGCAGCTTCTTGAAAGTTCTTCGGCTTCAATTGACAATAGATAAGGTAATAGTGATAGTAATGGTAATGATAATAATATTTATATTTAGTAATAGTAAGGATAATAATAATAACATTAATAATTATAGTAATAATGATAATGATGATAATAATAATAATAGTAAGGATAATAGTAATAATAATAATAATAATAATAATAATAATAATAATAATAATAATAATAATAATAAAAATGATAATGATGATAATAACAATGATAATAACAGAAGAAGAAAAAGCAGAATATTGATAACAATAATATTATATGGGTTTCTTAATAATGGGATCATTGTGACAAGTGTAAGAAAATCTATGATGGCACTAATGATAATAGTGATAATGATATCATTATTATTTTTTCTTACTATAATTTGGCTATTATTACCAGAATTTTCGTTATCACCATAATCTTCATCGCAATAATAACAATCCTCATAGAATCAATATGAACTTACATCATAAATGATCAATGAGGAAAATGTACAGTAATACCTGCAACTATTTTCCCCTGGCCCTTGAATGAGAGTTTATATCAAGTTAACATTTCCCCGACGGTTGCTATCGCTGAGAGAGAGAGAGAGGGAAAGAGAGAGAGAGAGAGAGAGAGAGAGAGAGAGAGAGAGAGAGAGAGAGAGAGAGAGAGAGAGAGAGAGAGAGAGAGAGAGAAAGGCAGAGGGAGAGAGAGAGAGAAGGGAGAGAAAATTAAGCATTAGGTAAGGGGGAGAGAGAGAGAAAAAAAAAAGCAGAGAGAGAGAGAAAGGCACAGAGAGAGAGAGAGAGAGAGAGAAGGGAGAGAAAATTTAGCATTAGGTATAGGAGAGAGAGAGAGAGAGAGAAATAGAAACACTTAGACGCACATCTAAAGAAAAAGCCCAAAGAAAGGAAGAATTGTCACAAAAGCGAGAAAGGGACATAAAAAACGACGGAGCAGCAAGCGGCAGCAGCAGCCCCTCGCCTCGGGGGAAATAAGTTCGCCCGGGGCTCTCATCCTCAAGGGTATTAGGGCTCTGGATGGAAGGCAATATTGCAGTAGCGACGTTGTTTTTGACGCCTTCTGTGTCCTTTGCAGTATTTACTCATATGTTCGTTTATGTTTGAAAATGAACATATTTTACTCCTAGTGTTTGAAAATTTACCATGAAATATAGGATTCGTATGGAATGGGACACAATGAGCTTATAGAGGCAAAGCCACACACATACACACGCACGCGAATAGACATATGGATAAATAAATGCATAGACTAATTGATAGATAAGATAAGGAACTCCTGCTCGACCTCGCCAGCAGCGTCACCTGACCGCTGGTCGCTCCCGCCCGCAGCTACTCGCTGGTGATCCTGGACAACCCGCACTTGCGGGCGCTGTGGAACTGGACGGGGCGCGAGCGGCGCCTCGCCGTCGAGCGCGGCAAGATGTTCGTGCATTCGAACCCGCGGCTCTGCTTCCACCACATCGAGGCGCTCGTCAACGCCACCAACATGACGGGCCTTTCGGAGACCGACGTTTCCTCCACCTACAACGGGGACAAAGTGCCATGTAGGTGGCGGCGGCTGCGACCTCGGCGCCGCTCCTTCTTCTGTACATAGTGCAATGTGTCTGTGTATGTGTGTAAATAGATAGATAGATAGATAAATAGATTGACTGATATATGTGTATATATATAGATATAGATAGAAAACATATATGGACAGATAGATAGAAAGATTGATAAATAAATATGTAGATGCTATAGCTATCTTCCTAGTTTTATTACGAGGAAAAGAAAGAACAAAAAACGAAAAATACAAAACCTCAACCAGAACCCCTTCCCCCCCCCCCCCTCCCTCCCCTCCCCTCCCCCCACAGGCAAGGTGACGCCCCTGGAGGCGCGAGTGACGCCGCACCTGTACGGCACGCTGCTGGTGGAGGTGGCCACGTCGGCGCGGCTTCCCCCCGAGGCCGTCTACTACGTCAACTACAAGAAGGCGGAGAAGAACATCTCGCTGTACGAGGGCGACAGGCCCTGCAGCGACCAGGGGTGAGTGCTGCCCGCCATCATGAGCATCATCTTTGTCTTTATCTTTATGCATTTCTTTGTATATTCGTATCTAGGTTTATATCCATACTCATCTCCATCTATATCTGTTTCTATATATCTCTTTATATGTATACGTCTATATCAATATTTATATCTATATTCACATTCTAGCTATACATTTATCTTCATTCCCATCACCTTCATCAGCCAAAAAAGTCACAAACTCCCTCAGTTTTCGTTTTTCATGATCTCAGGTCTTTATTCAGTCTTACATCTGCATAACTCAAAAAAAAGTTGAGTACATTTCATTAGCCATTCCATGAAGTGTTGTGAACAGACTTGATCTCATATATATATATATATATATATATATATATATATATATATATATATATATATATATATATATATATATATTTATATATATATATATATATATATATATATATATATATATATATATATATATATATATGTATGTATGTATATACATATCATCTGTAGCATCTCAAGAGGCTATTGATCTACGCCCTGAACGGCCGTGGTTCATGATTTGGAGCTGAAACAGTCTCTCAATCGAGACTGCTGTTCGTAGCGTTGTCTGTATTCCCAAAGCCTCCTTTCCTGTCCCTAGACACTGGCAGCACAACGGGCCTCGTGGTCGCGTTATGCCACTGATACAAACAGCGCAGCAGAGAGCAACTTAGGCAGGAAGAACTAGTGGTGAACAATACCATTACAGTTCTAGTTAGCGGATGAGCCCTGTTAGCCGGATAGTTAGTTGGTAATGAATTAGTCAATATAATTGTTAAATTCACAGTGGATTTGAGTTCCATATGACTCAAAGAATGAATCTATTGAAACAGCAACAACAGTAGGCGAAGCAGAAGCATCCATAACCCTTCAGAAAGTCATAAACCTCGTATCATCATCTTGAATCGCTAACCATTTTTCCCGCGAATTGCAAACCACCGTGAATAGTAGTTCTGCCATGTCCAACCAACCCCCAACGATCGCCAACCATTTACGCCGCATGGATCACCAACTCTTCATCCGACCAAAAACAACCAACCATTCACACCGCCACAATTCACCAACCATACATCTCGCAGCAAATACCCAACCGTTCACGCCAGCTAACCCGCCGCCCCCCCCTCCCCCGCAGGTGGTCGACGATGGAGGTGGGTCCGGGCAACGGGACGTCGCTCGCCCAGAGGAAGGACCTGATCATCGTCAACCTGGAGCCGTTCACCCGCTACGCCGTGTACGTGAAGGCCTACTCGCTCGCGTCCAGCGGCAAGGGCGCGCAGTCCGACGTCCTGTACGCCGTCACGAGGCCCTACCGTGAGTGAGGCAGCTGGGCGCTGGGCTGTGTGTGTGTGTGTGTGTGTGTGTGTGTGTGTGTGTGTGTGTGTGTGTGTGTGTGTGTGTGTGTGTGTGTGTGTGTGTGTGTGTGTGCATTTATCAATTCTATATTTGGCAGTTGAAGATTATTCTGTATACATCTAAAATCACAGTAAATTTCCGCAAATATATAAGCCAGTCAGAGCGTAAAGCCAAGGTAAGTTACTTTCTAACTCCATACGGAGAGTTCCAAGATTAAAACGTTACCCGCGTCTTCACGCACACAAGAGTTCTTTTTTCCTTGATTCCTCCGCTTTCGTCTTAGACACAAGAGTGCCGTCACTACTTCGTTCTTCCTTCGTGCCTCTCCCAGCTGCCGGAGGGACGGATCGATTTCCTACGCAGCTCTTTCATCTGTGTTATCCTTGTGATGGCCTTGGTGCATTGTGCTTGGGATAAATTCCACGTTCTACATTCGAGCTACGCCACCTCAAAAATTTCGATCTTAGATAATATTTGGTCAAGCCACTCTCTCTCTCTCTCTATCTATCTATCTATCCATCTATCTATCTATCTATCTGTCTATCTATCTATCTATCTATCTATCTATCTATCTATCTCTCTCTCTCTCTCTCTCTTTCTCTCTCTCTCTCTCTTTCTGTCTCTGTGTCTGTCTGTCTCTCTCTCTCCATGACTGTATTATTACCGCCGCCACTATAATGATGAAATTCTTACTTCAAGTTATCCAAAGCGTAAAGTTAAATACATACCATCAACTGTGCCAGTTAGGTTTTTCGGTTGGGACAGCGCCGCCTTTTGCTTGGATAAGACGCTTGCTGATACCTGCTGTAACACTTTTGGAAGGATTAACTGCATGATTAGCGGTGAAGTGAAGGATCAACCCAAACACTGTTAATGTAAAGAGACAGATTCATGCGGTTAGGAAACGTGAGTAGTGGTAGATGACGTTACTGTAGGTGGTTACATTTCTCTAACATTTGATTTCTAAAATCCAACAATACAAAAGGAAAATATTATGGTAGTTGTTATTATTTTTTTATTTTACTTATTTCTCCATTTTATTACAAATACCGCTTACAAGATATTCACTATGATGGAAGTGGACATTTATAGATATAACTGATACTTAGTGATATTTTTGAAACGTATATACGAAGGCACGTGTCAGAGAAGAAGCATGAAAGAATATTCACATGGCTAATAATGTCATATCATAATAAAATAAGACCTATAGTGAATTTTCACGATGGTATATACTCTTCAAATGAAACCCATACAGAAATAGAAAAAGTAAATATGTTTAGTCTTGAAGATGCGAATCGGATAGAAAAAAACATAAATTTAATCCCATGTACACTAATAGACTAATTACTAAAAAGATCATAAGATCAATTAATAAAGTCTCCATTATATCGACACAATATCTATCTATCTATCTATCCAGAATATCTAAATAGTTTGGTAACGATGTCTGACCTCAAGCATTTCCAGAATCAGACTTTAAACCGAGACATTTGGAATTCATGCGATGCTGCTGATCCTCTGACGCGTTTATTGTATTTGGAGAAATGCAATAGTATTAAGGGTTTGAGTTAGAAGAGGGAATGGGAGCGGGGAGAGCGAGGAAGACGGGGGGGAAGGAGAGAGAGCGAGAGAGGCGGATGGGAAGGAGAGAAGGCGAGAGAGGCGGATGGGAAGGAGAGAGAGCGAGAGAGGAAGAGGCGCAGGGAGTAAAGGAGAGGGAAAGAAAGAGAGAATGAGGGAGAAAGGGAGGAAACGACATAAAAAGATAGAGAGAAAGAAAGAAAAGAGATAGAGGTAGATAAACAGACAGAGGATAGATAGATAAATAGAGAGAGGGGAAGGGGAAAGAGGGAAAGAAAGAAAGAGACAATGACGGGGAGGAGGAAAGAGATTGAATGGATGAATGAATGAGAAAGAGGAAGGAAAAGGAAAAAAATAGGAAAAGTAGGAGATATAAAAAAAAAAGCGAGGCGAGAGAACGAGAGAGCGAGGGAATGAAATGCAAACGCGTGCATGCAAACCCGTCCTCCCAGACGAAACAGCCGTTGCCTTTGTAATAATAATAATAATAATTAATGGTTTATTTACTAATAAAGTTTTACATATACACAGTGGCATACAACAAAACATACTGTCTCAGTTTACAAAATATATGATATAAGATCCAAAAATACAAGGATATTTATTAAAATAGGGATTATTAAAAAATCAGAAATATATCATTTGTGTACAACATCGGATATATATACAATAAAATGTTGGTGTAAGTAGTTTTACAGTGAATTGATTTGGGTGACAATATAAGGTATGGTTGAGTTTTTATATCTAGCGGTCCGACATCTAATGGATTGCAACAATTCCCTACCTCTTCTTGTGTTTCTACCATGTATATCATACATATTCTGTGGTAATAAATGCCTGTGCTCAGGTGATTTGAGGAGATCTCTTCCAAACCTAACAGTTAAGTCTTCCCTTCTTTTGTATAGTGATTCTGTATTGAGCTGTAATAGTGCATCTTCATAATTTTGGTACCCTCCACCTAGTATAACTCTGAAACATCGCTTTTGAATCTTTTCAATATGCTGATGCTGTGTTTGTGTGAGACCTGGGTGCCAAACTGGTGCCGCATACTCCAATGCTGTTCTTATGAACCATGAGTATAAAGTGAACATAACACTTTGGTTGAAACCAAACTGTCTTGCACGGTACAATATGTAGAGAAGTTTGTTTGCTTTGGATGTGATGTACTTAACATGATCCTTCCAGGTTAGTTCTGAGTTTATATTGACACCAAGGAGTTTGCAATTATGGACTATTGGTAGATCACTGCCATTTAACCTTAATTGTTGGAATACAAGAGGTCTTTTAGGTGGACACACAAACATGACCTCACATTTTAAGGGATTTGGAGACATTTTTATTATAGTACAGTCCTGAGCCAGCTCATCCAAAGTGGCTTGCATTGTGAATGATATCGTGTCCTTAACATCAATAGTTTCTGCTAAAGTAAGATCATCAACATATTTTACATGGAAGGTGGAATTGCGACACAACCTGTTTACAACAGCTAAGAATATTATTGGTCCTAACCGTGTCCCCTGTGGTACCCCACAGGTGATGGTATCAAACTGGGAAATTGTATCCCCATATCTCACTCGATGTTTTCGGTCAGATAGAAAACTTGAAACAAATGAGAGAAGTGATGCTCTACAGCCTAGCGAATGGAGTTCAGTTACAGCTACTGTATGGTCAATGAAATCAAAAGCTTTTTTATAATCGATTAAGACAATCTGAGCTATTTTCTTTGGTTGATCTAGTTCTCTTAAGAGCGTGTTTAAAAGCATTACCAAATAGTGTGTTGTGGATCTACCCTTAAGGTTTCCATACTGAAAGGGGTCTATATTGGGACGAATGTCCTCTAGTACTAGCTCGGCTACAAATCCTTCTAATATTTTCCCTAAGTCAGGAGTAAGTGATAGGGGGCGTAAGTCTCCTAGTTGGGAGATTATCTTGGTTTTACCTAATGCAGTTATTGTGGCTAGTTTCCATCTAGAAGGGAAAGTACCACCACAAAGACTTAAATTATAAATATGAGTGAGAGGTTGACTGATCTCATAGGCAAATTCTTTAAGTAATCTTTTAGGTAGTGAACCTGGCGGTGAGGTTTTACCAATTTTAAGTGATTTTAATGCCTTGTACACTTGGATTCTATCTATAGAGGGAAAGTCATTAGTTGGCAAAAAGCTAGGTAGTTCAGAATGGTTAATTGGTGGGAGATGAGTACAAATATTTGTGAAATGTGCTGTTATGTGTTCACTAATTTCCTGGGCATTTAGATGATTCAAAAAAGGTATTCTAAGTTTCTTCTTTGTGGTGCCTATTATACATTTCAAGTCCCTAGAAAATTTTGCAGAGTTTATATTGTTTTGTTGTACAGTTTGTGCTGTGATCCTTTTTATATTCCAAATTTCATGTTTTACTTTAATGTAGAGTCGTCTCCACAGGTCCATCCTGCCCCTATTGTAAGCTCGCCGTCTCTGCTCCATCAATCGGAGTATCCTTGCGGTGATCCAGGGTTTGTTTTCCATCCTCATACGTTGCCGTTGTTCAGGGAAGCTCGCCTCGTAGCGCGACGTCAGCTTACTCTCCAACATGTCCGCTGCTGTGTCAACATCCTCAACGTCTAAAACGTCACACCAATCCTCGGAAGTAATCCATTGACCAAAATGTCTCACAGATGAGTCCAAGAAAGGCCGATATAATCTCACAGTGTGGGGTGGTGGGCTTGGCGGCGCCATAGAGCGACACATTACGCATAGATGGCGACTAAGTCCAATCGGTGGATGCATTTCACTATTCGTATAACACTCTGCATCTGTTAAGATGAGGTCTAACATCGAGTTGCCGTGTGTGGGTTCGTTTACTACACACCTGAGTTCCAAATTACTTATGAGGGAGCTAACATCTAGGTCATTAAAGTCCCCCATAATCACTGTTCGTAAGTCCGTGTATGTTGCACGCAGCATGTCCGTGGTTGATATGAGGTGATCTACAAGTGCATTGTGCGTGTCCGCCGCTGGGGGGTAATACACACAACACACACACAACCTTTTAATGTGATAAAATATGTTTTGTTCTATTAATATCCAAACACATTCAACGTCATCTGGTACTACAATATTTATATTCCTAACCACGTACGTTTCATTCACAAATAATGCCACGCCCCCTCCTCTAGTTTCACGATCCTTGTGATAGAGTTCATAACCTGGTATATTATACTGATGTGCTGGTTTATTGTCTGAAAACCAGGTTTCACTTACGCCAATGACATCTGGTTAAAGTAATTTCACGCGTGCATAGAATTCTTCATATACATTGGTAAGACTCTGTGGGTTGGTAATTAACAAACTGGGCGGCACGCGAGCTTTGTTTACATTATTTTTGTCAATAGGTGGCGTTGACAACACTCGTGATTGTATACGTTCACATCCTGTTTCACTTTCGGTTCCACATTTTTTCTTTCGTTTCGTGATGCGGGTCAAAATGTTTCGTTTCATACGTTTGCCTGCTCTTCTTCCTCTATTCTTATATAATCCCAATTCCTTCAATAACGCAATTGTTCTGAAGTCTATCATAGTGCGACTATATCTATTCATCAATAAGTAACTTCTCGTATATCTTAGGGCCACTGGAGGAGTACTTACATAGTTCATAGAGTTCCGTTCAGCCGCCATGTTGACAACTCTTTCGTCACCACATACACCACCGCCACCACTTATATTTTCCAAAATATCACCTTGTAGAATAAAGTATCCACTGCACATAAGGTATAACAATATCCCACAGTTCTTCATGGTCGTGGTACATAAATATGGGGTTTCAGTAGATGATTGTACTTGCTAAAATATATAAAAGCTTGGGAGCACACATAGCGCCCTGGCTGCAGCTGTTCAGCGCCTTTATGTCGCATGAGTTTCAAAAAACAAATGACGCGCAAATTAAGGCGGTGCGAGGCGGTGGTACAGATCTCAGGCAAGGATGGGGATCTTGGAAGATGCCTTAGTTCCCTTGTGTTGTGTCTCCAACAAAGTATTACCACCGTTATCAAACCTAACACAGCAACACCCCCATATATTCCGTAGCACCTTCATTAGCATCGCCCTCTTCTAATCTTCCGGAGGCTGCACATTTTTCTTCCTTATCCTTCTTGGCACGTGTCCCGCGAGGCTCACTAGCATCACCACCACGACCGCTGTCCTTCCTCTCATCACCCTCGTCAGCGTCGCTTCCCCGGTCGATCTTGTTTCTTGTCGCCCTTATCAACATCACTACTATCCCTCCTTTCACCATCGTCACCATCTCCACGAGTACTATTTATTTTTCACCATTGTCACCATCACCCTACCCACGCCCCTTGCCTTCCCACATTTCATCCTTATCATACCAACATCACCAACATGGCCACTACCCTTCCTCATACTATCATCACCATGGCCACTGAAAACCATTACCATCCAATAAAAACCACTAACAACAATTAACAATCATTAGCAACCACTAACAAACATCAACAATAATTAAAAGCACTAACAGCCCAACAAACAACCATTAACAGTCATCACCAACCAAGAGCAACAGTTAACAATAATAAACAACCACTAACAGTCATTAAGCTTAATTAAAAGCAACTACCAGCCACAAATTAACAACCACTAACAGCGACAAACATTAATTAGCAATCATTAACAACCACTAAAAAACATTAACAATTATTAACAACCGCTAACAACCATTAACAACAATTAAAAACCACTAACAGCCATTAATAACCATTAACAATCATTAACAACCGCTAACAAGGATTAACAATTCTTAACAACCTCTAACAACAATTATCAATCTTTACCAACCACTAACAATTATTAACAATTATCAACAACCACAAATAAACATTTACAACCACTAACATCACCAACACCATCATTAACAGCCACAAAGAACCATTAACAACCATTAACACTCGCAAACCATTAACAATCATTAGCAACTACTAACAGCCACAAACAACCATTTCAAAAAAAAAAAAACACTAACAGACACAACCAACCACTAGCAATCATTAATCACTAACAGCCACAAACTATTAACAAATCATTAACAATTACTAACAATCATTAATAACCACTAACAACCATAAACAATCATTAACAACCACTAATCACCATTAACAATCCTTAACCACTAAAAACCATTAACAATCATCAAAAACCATTAACAGCCCCAAACAACCATTAGCAATCAATAATAACCACAGACCTATCAATAACAATGACAAACAACTATTACCAATAATCAACAACTACTAACAACCCTTAACGGTCATTAGCAACCACTAACAACCATTAACTAACATCTACAGACAACTATTAACAGCCATTAACAACCCCTAACAACCCCCAATAGCCCCTCCGTCTCTACCATCAGCTTCCTCTCACCCCTCCCCCCCTCCCTCCCCAGACCCGACCGAGCCCGTGGGCCTCGAGTGGGTCTCGAGGAACAGCTCGACGGTCGCCCTGGAGTGGCACCCGCCCCGGAGGCCCAACGGGAGGGTCGCCCACTACCTCGTCTCGCTGCAGCTCCTGCCGGACACGCCCAGGATCCCCCCGAACCTCCACTTCTGCAGGCCGGAGAGTGAGTGTTCTTTCCTTTTATCTTCTTACTTTCCTGCGGGGATTCCTCTAGACCTCCCCTTCTGCAGGCCGGAGAGTGGGTGTTTCCTTCTTTTGTAGTTTTTAGTTTTGTTTTCTGTTCCTTGACCTCCTCTTCTGCAGGCTGGCTTTTTATCCCTAGACCTCTTCTGCAAGTTGTCTTTTTTTCCCTAGACCTTTTCTGCAGGCTGTCTTTCTTTCCCTTGACCTCTTCTTTTTTTCTGACATTTCCTGCAGGCTGTTTTTTCCCTAGACCTCTTCTGCAGGCTCTTTTTCCACTAGATCCATCTTTTTTTTCCTAGACCTTTTCTGCAGGCTTCTTTTTCCCCCTAGAACTTTTTGGTATGCTGTTTTTTTCCCTACACCTCTTCTGCATTTTGTCTTGTTTCTCTAGACCTCTTCTGCAAGCTCTTTTTCCCCTAGACCTGTTTTTCCCCTAGACCTCTTCTGCAGGCTTTCTTTTTTTCCCAAGGCCTCTCCTAATGGCTGTCTTTTTTCCCTTGACTTCTTCTGCGGTCTTTTTCACCTAGATCTCTCCTACTGGCTCTCTTTTTTCCCCTGCAGTCTTTTTTTCCCCTAGACCTTTTCTACAAGATTTTTTTTCCCTAGACCTCTTCTACAAGCTCTTTTTTCCTATAGACCTCTTCTTTTTCTTTCCTTTTTTTCCCTAGCTCTCTTTTTTCCATAGACCTCTTCTGCAGGCTCTTTTCCCCCTAGTCCTCTTCTGCAGGCTCTTTTTTCCCCTATACCTCTTTTTTTCCCTAGACCTTTTCTGAAGACTTTCTTTTTTCCCATAGACCTCTCCTGCAGATTTTTTTTTCTATAGACCTTTCCTACTAACTGTACTTTTTCTCCAAGACCTCTTCTGCAGGCTTTCTTTTTTCTTTTTTTTTGTCTTTTTGCCTTAGAACTTTTCTGCATGCTGTCTTTTTTCCCTAGACCTCATCTTCAGGTTATCATTTTTCCCTAGACCTCTTTTGCAAGCTTTTTCTCCCCTAGACCTCTTTTCCCCCTAGACCTGCAAGCTGTATTTTTTCTCATAGACCTTTTCTGCGGGCTTTCTTTTTTCTCCTAGACCTCTTCTGCAGGCTGGCTTTTTTTCCCTAGACCTCTTCTGCAGGTTGTCTTATATCTTATTTTCCCTAGACCTACTGACTCTTTTTTCCCCTAGACCTCTTCTACAGGCGTTCTACTAGCTCTTATTTTTCCCTAGATCTCTTCTGCAAGCTCTCTTTTCCCCCTAGACCTTTCCTACTGGCTGTTTTTTTTTTCTCCTAGACCTTTTCTGCAAGTTTTTTTTTTTTGTTTTGTTTTTTTTAGATATCTTTCCCTAGACCTCTTCTGCAAGTTCATTTTCCCCTAGACCTTTTCTCCGGACTTTTTTTCCCTAGACCTGTTCTGCAGGCTTTTTTTTTTCCCACAGACATTTTCTCCGGACTTTTTCCCCTAGACCTGTTCTGCAGGCTCTTTTTTCCACTAGACCTTTTCTCCAGACTTTCTTTTTTTCCTAGCCCTCTCCTACAGGTTTTTCTCTCCCCTAGAACTTTTCTGCAGGTTATTTTCCCCTAGACCTCCTCTGCAAGCTCTCTTTTTTCCCTAGACCTGTTCTGCAGGCTCTTTCTTCCTCTAGACCTCTTCTGCAGGCTATCTTTTTCCATAGACCTCTTCTGCGAGTTCTTTTTCCCCTAGACTTCTTTTTCCCCCGAGACCTTTTCTCCGGACTCTTTTCTCTAGACCTGTTCTACAGGCTCTTTCTTACCCTAGACCTCCTTTTTCCCCTAGACCTCTTCTGCAGGCTGTAATTTTCCCCTAAACCTCTGCAAGTTCTTTTTCTCCTAGACATTTTTGTCCCCTAGATCTTTTCTCCGGACTTTCTTTTTCCCTACATCTTTTTTCCCCTAAACTTCTGCATTCTGTTTTTTTTTTTCCCTAGACCTCTCCTACAGGTTCTTTTTTCCCCTAGAACTTTTCTGTAGGTTATATTTCCCCTAGACCTCTTCTGCAGGCTGATTCTTCCCTAGACCACTTCTGCAAGCTCTTTTTCCCCTAGACCTCTTTTTTCCTAGACCTTTTCTGCAGGCTGTATTTTTCCCCTAGACCTGTTCTGCAGATTTTTTTTTTTTCTCTCTCTCTCTCCTAAACCTTTTCTGCAGCTGACTTTTTTACCTGGACTTCTTCTGCAAGATATTTTCCCCCTAGACCTCATCTGCAGGATATCTTTTTCCCTAGCCCTCTTCTGCAGGCTCTTTTTCCCCTAGACCTTTTCTGCAGTCTAGACCTTTTTCCCCTAGACCTTCTCTGCGGACTTTCTTTTTCCCCTAGACCTTTTCTGTAGGCTGCCTTTTTCCCCTAGACCTCTTCTGCAGGGGTTCTTTTTTTTCCTTAGACCTTTCCTACTGGCTGTTTTGTTTTCTGCAGGTTTCTTTGCCCCCTAAATATCCTTTGCAGGCAGACCTCTTTCTTCCCCTAGACCTCTTCTGCAGGCTGTATTTTTCCCCTAGACCTTTTCTACAGGCTTTCTTTTTCCCCTAGATCTCTCCTACTGGCTCTTTTCCCCTACACCTCTTCTGCAGGCTTCCCCTAGACCTTTCATACTTTCATTAATCTCACCTATTGGCTATCTTTTATTCCTATACCTCTTCTGCAAGATCTTTTTTCCCCTAGACCCCTTTTTTTCCCTAAACCTCTTCTGCAAGCTGTTTTTTTTTTCCTTGACCCCTTCTGCAGGCTGTCCTATTTCCGCTAGACCTTTTCTGCAGCCTTTTTTTTCCCTACACCTTTTCTACAGGCTGTCCTTCCTCTATATCTGTTCTACGGTGTTTGTTTTTTTTTCTCTAGATTTCTCCTACTGGCTGTCTTTTTCCCCTAGACCTCTTCTGTTGGCTGGCTTTTTCCCCTAGAGATCTTCTGCAAGCATTCTTTTTTTCCGTAGACCTCTCCTACTGGCTGTCTTTTTTACCCTAGACCTCTCCTGATAATTCTCTTTTTTTCCCTAGACCTCTTCTGTAGGCGTTCTTTTCTCCCCTAGACCTTTCCGGCTGTCTTATTTCTGCAGGCTTTCTTTTTTTCCCTAGACCTATTCTTTTCTACACCTCTTCTGCAGGTCTTTTTCCCATAGAACTCTTCTGTAGGCTATTTTCCCCCCTAGACTTCTTTTTCCCCTAGGCCTATTCTTTTCTACAAGCTGTTTATTTCCCTAGACCTCTTCTGCTGACTCTCTTTTTCCCCTAGACCTTTTTTGCAAGAGATTTTTTCTCCCTTAGACTTCTGCAGATGTTTTTCCCTAGACCTAGCTCTCTTTTTTCACTAGACCTCTTCTTCTCTTTTTTTTTTTTCCTAGACCTCTTTTCTCCCCTAAACCTCTTCTACAGGCTGTTTTCCCCCTAGTCCTCCTCTGCAGGCTCCTTTTTCCCGAGACTTCTTTTTTTCCCTAGACCTTTTCTGAAGGCTTTCTTTTTTCCCCTAGACCTCTGCAGATTTTTTTCCCGTAGACCTTTTCTGAAGATTTTGTTTTTTTCGCCTAGACCTCTTCTGCAGATTTTTTTCCCCTAGACCTTTTCTGAAGATTTTGTTTTTTTTTTTCGCCTAGACCTCTACTGCAGGCTAGACATCTTCTGCAGGTTATCCTTTTCCCGTAAACCTCTTCTACAAGCTTTTTCCCCTAGACCTCTTTTTCCCCTAGACCTCATCTGCACATTATTTTTTCCCCTAGACCTCTTCTGCAAGCTCTTTTTTTTCCCTAGACCTCTTTTTCCCCTAGACCTCTTTTTCCCCTAGACCTCTTCTGCAGGCTGTTTTTTTCCGTAGACCTCTTTTTCCCCTAGACCTCATCTGCAGGCGGTCTTTTTCCCCTAGAACTCTCCGTTTTTTTTCCCTAGACCTTTTCTAAAGGTTTTCTTTTTTTTCCCTAGACCTCTTCTGCAGATTTTTTTCCGTAGACCTTTTCTGAAGATTTTGTTTTTTTTTTCGCCTAGACCTCTTCTGCAGATTTTTTTCCCCTAGACCTTTTCTGAAGATTTTGTTTTTTTTTTCGCCTAGACCTCTACTGCAGGCTCTTTTTTCCCCTAGACCTCTTTTTTTTCCCTAGACCTCTTTTTTTTCCCTAGTTTTTTTCGCCTAGACCTCTACTGCAGGCTCTTTTTTCCCCTAGACCTCTTTTTTTTCCCTAGACCTCTTTTTTTTCCCTAGACCTTTTCTGAAGATTTTTTTTTTTTTCGCCTAGACCTCTTCTGCAGGCTCTTTTTTCACTAGACATCTTCTGCAGGTTATCCTTTTCCCGTAAACCTCTTCTACAAGCTTTTTCCCCTAGACCTCTTTTTTCCCCTAGACCTCATCTGCACATTATTTTTTCCCCTAGACCTCTTCTGCAAGCTCTTTTTCTCCTAGACCTCTTTTGTCTTTTTTCCACTTTCATTTCTAGACCTCTTCCACAGGCTTTCTTTTTTTCCCTTGATCTTTTCTGCTGGCTCTCTTTTTATCCCCTAGACCTCTCTTACCGACTCATTTTTTCCTAGACATTTTGTGCAGGCTTTTCCCCTAGACATGTTTTTCTCCTAGACCTCTTCCACATTGTATTTTTTTTTCCCTAGACCTCTTCTGCAGGCTGTTTTTTTCCGTAGACCTCTTTTTCCCCTAGACCTCTTCTGCAGGTTATTTTCCCCCTGGACCTCTTTTTCCCCCTAGACCTTTTCTGTGGGCTTTCTTTTTTCCCTAGTTATTTTCTGTAAGCTGTTTTTTTCCTTAGAACTTTCCCCTAGACCGTCTTTTTCCACAACTCTTCTACAGGCTCTTTTTTTTCCCTCTGGACGTCTTTTTTCCCCCTAGACCTCTTCTACCGGCTGTCCTTCTTTCCCCTAGATCTTTTTCCTCTAGACGTCTTTTTCCTCTAGACTTCTTCCTCAGGCTGACTTTTACCGCTAGATCTCTTCAACAGGCCATCTTTTTTCCCCTAGAGCCTTCTACAGGCTCTCCTTTTTCCTGGAC